GCACTGTGGAGACTGCTAAAAGCAATTTCCAGTGGAAGGTGGCCTTGTGATCATATATGCAGTGTACAACCTCAGATAAGGTCCTCATGCCAACCTATGAAGTCAAACACATACTGTGGGGAAATTAGATAGCTAAGAAACATATTTTCCTGCAGGAATTAATACCAAAAGTCTTGGTACATCTGCCTGCTTGTATCAAAAGAATCCTTAACATTCACCTAGCAGTTGTCATGTGTGAGCTGCTTACTGGAAGCTTTGCGATGCCATCATATTTCCAATAATTAAGACAGGTATTTATTTATTTGTAGAAAACAAGAATGAGCAGAGAGCAGGAAAGGGTTTCACCTTCTCAAACAGATTTTTTTTTTAGTGTTTCTTGGTTTTGTTTTTGTTAAATCAAGGAAAGAATACAGAGTAGAAGCTGATAGGAGGAAAAAATGCTGACTAAACAGATCACTCAATCTGAACTGACTTCATTGCCAGAAGTGAGAGAGAGGTACAAACAGAACCAAAAATGGTGCCAAAAATGTGCTCTCTGGGGCAGCAGAAAATCCGCTTCTGTTCTCAGTTCTGCTGCTGTAAATCTGCAGTAACTCCAGGCATGTGATATGAGCTGTTCTGGAGGTACAGCAGTGTAACATGGGCACATGTGGCTCACGTTGCCCTGGTACATGGGCATGTTATAGCCATGTGTGCTTCAGATGGGAAGGTTCTTTCTGCTTTTGCACAGAAAATAAAAGATCAGCAAGAACAACTACCTTCAACATAACCTAGAAAAACTGCACACTTCTCACAGCAGAGACAGGTCTGCTCCAGAACAGCAAAGGAAATTTCTCAGACTTTTCAATAACATAATGCTATATGTATTCACTTTTTTTTTTTTTTAGAAACCAAATATTTCTATTTTACCTGCCATAAACAACTGACAGCCATGCAGAGCTATTTCAGTATGGGAGACTGCAAAAAGTAGTCTGCTTACAGGGCTCATAATTCATATATGAAAGTAACATATTCATAAGTGTTCTAAGATCAGGTGCCTCAGAGATATTATACAAACATATATTGAGATCTATAAAAAATTTAGATTTCCATTATGAAGCCCATATATGACAGACAACAATATACTGATGCTAGCAATGAAAAGGCAGATATTAAAACCTATGTAATGCAATCTTACCCTCAAAGCAGACCTGAGCAATAAAAAAGCAAGTTTTTTGGCATTGTGTATACACTTCTGTGCTTTCCCCACCTTTTCTTCCCAAACTCCCTCAGCCAGATTACTCTGCAGCCCTAGCAACGCATTTATACTCAGCTGGCTGACCACCATCATTATCTGTACCACATTCTGCTCTCATGGATGACCTTAAACTGCAATCCTGGAAAATACCTTGCTCACTAACCCAAAGTGTCACTTGCTATAATTAGCATTCTGGGAGCTAACAATACAGCCATTAAGGCACTGAGAAAGACATGTCCTGCCTTAGTTCAGTGTTTATCAAGTGATCAGTCAGATGACCATTAAAGCAGTGAAGTCTTTATTCAGACTGTCAACTTGCCTGCAACAACCCATAAACTTGTGTCTCCAGGGTTTTCCTTAGAGAGATGGATAATGATGCTCTTCCATGTTACCTTCCTCTCTATGAAATTCAGTACTTCCAAATCCCCCCCTCTATTTCCAGGGCAGCCTGCAGTGAGAAAAACCTGACTTCAAATACTACAACAGTCTCAGAATCAGGCTGTCATTCAGCAGCAACAGCTTTTGCCGAGTACACGCGGCTTCACAGTAAGGACACTGCCCACTGCAAATTCCCCTCTCACCAAGGATATGGAATAGCACGAGAACGTTTTATCTCCATTCCAAACTTTTAATATTTTAATGTACTAAATCTTATCACCATCATCTTGTTCCAATTTGGATGGCCAGCTAGCTGTTTTAATAGACTGAAGAAATACTAAAACCATTAGTGTAAAGCTTCATGTAAAACTACTACACAACATAAATTAAACATCTTGGTGCTACAGTGATGCTGAGAACTGCTTAACACCATCAGATTTCATTCATGTAAATCCCCCCTCACCAAGACAGAGCCACCAGACTGCTGCTTAATTCCTAATTTCTGATAAATGTATCAAAATTCATTAGGGTTTTATGCATAATGTCAAGTGGAATAGCAAATACTCCTAATGATAACATTTATCTTCAGGATCATTTTGTGTACATGAAACAAGTCTATTCTAACAAATAAAGATTCCCTCTAGTTAAAACTGAGGAAAAGTCAAGATCAGATGAAAGAAATGTATTTTATTTGTCTAAACTAAACTTTACGACTGAGCACATCAAAGCCATTAAGATGTCATGAGACATGTTCTGAGCACCACTACACAGCACAGAATGGATTCAGTGGCAATATTTGTCCTTTCCCATGACAAATGGCTAATGCATCTGTCTCCAGCTATACAAGAAGGGATGTTTAGCTTCAGGTGGCTGAGTGTTAAGAGCATTCCAATGTGTGGGGATTTTGTTTGTTGTTTTGTGTTTTTTTTTTTTTTTTTTCTTCCTGAGAGCTTTTTTTAAAAATGTACTTCTCCATGGGCTATGGATCTACAGGTTTTTGGTGACTAATTAGTAACTGGAATCCAGAGTCAGTATCATTCATTAGGTAAAGCACTTACATATTCTCTCAAGGGAAAATCTGAGGCAAAACACACAAGAATTGGCTGTGCAACTAGCATGAATGACATAAATGTCTAATTCCCAAAGCCAAGATATATCCCTTCTAGTGTTTCTGAAACATAAAATTAACGATTTTGTTAAATGTGAAGGAACATAATCTTGGACTGGACTCCGCTGACAGACAGTAATTATGCTAGAGACATATTAATCTAATACTTATTCTACATTTAACTTGCTTTTAGTTGTGTTTTGCTTCAGTTTCAGAGGAGTCAGTGGCTATCCAGCTTACTATCCAAACCATTACAGTCACTTCAAGGACAGCAACTGTAAATTAAAATGTGGAAAATCCATTACTAGTTTAGCAGAGAGTTGAAGAAAATTCAGCCTTGTTTGCAACCCTGAGTTCAGTGTACCTGTCTGAACAAATAAGCTTCTTCTGAGGAGCACAGCGATGCAGAAGTGCCTCAGTTCTAAATAGAAATAAACAAACTCACAAAATCAAAACTTTGTGATAGTGTTGTCTTCATTCTCCCTGACTGGAAAATGGGTTAGGTAGTCTTTGTTTCTTTCAGTATTACTTATACACTGTACATTCTTGTCCTACCACCTTTATACTAACAAATAAGTATATTCTACAAATGTGTATCAGACAGCAGTTAATATTTTTCAGTAATTTTTCAGTGAGAGGGTCAAGATTTATAAGCTTATTTTGAATGTGCATCTATTAAAAAGTTAATAACACATCTATTTAATGCGACTATTTAATAATAATAAAATATAGATTATTAAGCAGTGATATGTAAAACAGTGACAGCAATGGATGCTGAAGTTATTCAGAGCCACTTCACAAGTGACAATTTGGGAAATTCCTGGGTAGACACTCTGGAATTCCTGGGCAGTAATTCTGTTGAAAGAAAACTAGTGGGAACAGAGGTGAAGAATGTGAGTCAAAGAGGAGAGGCTTTGCAGAAGTCAGCTACATATGAAACGAGAATATGTTTACTAAAATACAACTATTATATATTGAGCCGATATCTAGGGTGCTCCATCTGTTGCCACTATGGGGAATTTTTTGAAACTACAATATGTCACTGTTAACACGGCATTTTCAGAACATTCTTAAATGACACAATAACACAAAGAAACAACACTGACACAAAGCATCTCCTGTAACAAACTACATTCCACAATTCTGGGAATTTCAGTAATAGAAACTACAACATCAACATGATCTCTACACTCAGTTTATAAGATCAGCTATTTTTCTTTGCAACAAACTGAGAAGTAATGTAAGGAGTAACTTCCAAAAGTAACATAACCATAACAGTTGGTGTGCAATTTAACTGCTGATTTAAATCAGCTAGTTGTCACAAATAACTCCCCTAAACTGCTTCTAAAGTGGGCAGATATGGAAAGGAAAAGGCAAAACAATATGGTTAACAGCCAGCAGCAAAAATGCCTTAAATAGGTTGCAGATCTTCCATCTTAAGTAAGAAGAAATTTATTCCAGGATCTAAGAGCTGTCCCAGGCATTAAACCTTTCATAGATCATCATCCTAATTGTCTCCTTACAGTTAACCTATCTTATATTCCAAAGCAATCCTATCCAAACAGAAGCACATTTGTTTTTGTTAAAGCTATGTTTGAGAAATTCAATTTCAAGTTGTCAGTACTGATAGGGGAGGTTGGAACAGTAAATCTAGCTGAAATGAATTAAAGTCTGCCTCTCAAGTACACTTTTTCTGATTTTTAAGGGAAGAAAAGAGAATGGTATTACTGTAATTAATCTGCCTGTTACCCTTTTCTGATCTTGCCAACTCCCCAACAATATTTTGCACTCCCTTTTTTTCTACATACAGTAAAACTCAAATTAAAAAAAAACAACCAAACATTTTCCATTGGAATTTTACATGGCTATCTTGTCTACCTTACCCCCAATAAATTTAACTCACGTACAAAACAAAAAAAAGCTGGTATCAATGCAGAATATCAACAACTACTCTTAAAGACATTTTATGGTACCTGTCCCCTAAGTTTTAGCAAACATACCTGAAGTGTACCAAAACAGTGAAATCAAATCACAATGCTACAGTAAACAGCGTGGCACAAACCACTGTGCAGAAGTCCTTCAGTTTAAAAGGCAACACATTCCTGACAATCTGTGACACAGAATGCAACCCAACCAACACTCAAAATATCAAGGACCAGGAAGCTCCATTCCATTAAATATTTAGGTTCCCTGAATCCAAAACTGAAGAGGCAAAACAAGAGAGAAAAATAGAAAGACAGACAGACAGAAAGAACTGAACAAACAAAACAACCTTACCTTTCACAAGCTCGGACAGTCCATGCAGCAATTATCCATAATGAGATACTAAAAACCAACAGTACAGTTCCTGGACATATTGTCATTAGAGTCTTCATAACAAAACGGGTATTGAAGTTTATCTTATTTAATGCTCCAATGCTTCTAGATGAGGCATCTGTGAAAAGTTTGCTATGCAAAAGCATAACTCTGGCAATAAGGTATAGTCTTAAGAACATTGGTATAGATAAAATAATATCCACATCAGCTGTTGTTGTGGATGGAGCGTAAGAAAAGGCGAGCCGGGCTGTCCATGTGAATGTATAGTTCCCAGGTATGGGATGTATAGCACACACCAGTATTTCCAAGCAGATAAAGAAAATACGCTCATAAGTCATGGCTATTCTCCAGTCATCTGCTCCATTGTCCACCATGAACAACTGAAATAATAAAATATAAGGTTAACTTTAGTACGTCATTAACAAACCTTGTTATAATTCCATTTTAAAATACCACAGTTTTCAGAGCTGCCAATGACCACTAAAAAGAAATATGCCATTTCAGAAAATGACATTACTACATCACTATGAATTGAAACAGAACTCTAGTTAAGACAAAAATATTTTTTTTCATGCACTATTTTAAAAACTGCACATGAAACTAAATTTTCACATATTATTTATTATGAATTCCTCATATTTTAATTGTCACTTCTGAGAAAACAAAACTCTGGACCAATTAATCCTTGTCTCTTCAAAATCAATTGCTTACTCTAAGTTAAAAAAATTTTTAAAAATTTAAGAAAGTGTTTTCATAATGGATACCTAAATTATTGAAAATACTTTCTAAGATGTAATATTAAGCCTGCTGTAGAGCGTATCCATGCTTCAGCCAGGGTGATATTATACTTTCTATAGAATTGTCCAAGCTTTCTTCAAGCTTTAAGCACCAACACAGATCAATGTAAGATGTAAAGCTACACGAGAAAATTCACAAAGACTCAAAAAGACATCTCATGGTGAAAATTCAAAAAGTAACGGCCAGCAAATATCAGAATAGCCCAGGCATCCAGGTGGTGTCTACTGGTAGCTGAAAATTAAATGCACATGTTGGTTCTTGCACAACCGTGGCCTTCAGCTTGCCACCAAGGAACAAAGGTACTGAAACATTTCATACTGTTTAGTAATGGATGTTTCTGATGAGTTACTAAATAAATACTTAATCAAACAGTATTTGTCACTAGTAGAGAGTAGCGATATACAAGAAGTTGCAAATAGGCAACTTTTCAAAAAGGAGCATAACCCATACTGACAGAGAGATACAATCTCGGTGACAAGAGGAAATAATCTCATTACTTCAACTATAGTCCAAATCTAAACAATGGTGTTCAATAAATAGGTAAGAGGCAATAAAAATACTTTTGCAGAATTTTAAAAAATACATTATTTAACAATAATGGGTGAGAAGGGAAAGTACACGAAGAACATGCTCCTTAATGTAAGAAAAGTATTTTCTGCACACTACACACCATGTATACAGCCAAAACCCCAGTTACTGATATGACACTGCTCTTTGCCCCTTTCCATCTTTCAAGAGTTTAAAAATAAAAGCCTGATTTCTCTGTATATGTTTTTAGAGATTGAAAACATACTCTGCATCCTCCTCCCAATATATTCAGTTTGTCTTTCAGAAAATTGCTCCAGTCATTTGTTTTGAAAAGTGATAACCACAAATTAACTTTACTGTAGTTGAACTGATACTTGAAAAAATAAAGATGTTAACTATAGTAAGAAACAAAACAAAACAAATTTCTGTATTTGTGGACCTGGTTTCCACCCCCTTACGTTCTTTCCCTCCATCTTACTGTATTGGGTGTTGGTGATAAGGTTTTGGTACTGGGGGTGGCTGCAGGGGTGGTGCCTGCAGGAAGACGTCAGGGGCTGCTGTGCAGTGGACCCACTGCATGACATGGCTTTGTTCATCAGTGAAGCTGGTGGTGCTTCTGTGAAAGCATATTTAAGAAAGGGCGAAATGCTGTCCAGGCATTGAGGAGTGAAGGAAAAAAGTATGAGAAACAACCCTGGAAATGCTAAGGTCAGAGAAGAAGAAGTAGGAGGAGGTGCTCCAGGCACTGGAACAGAGATTTCCTTGCATCCCTCGGAGAGGACCATGGTGACAGAGGTATTTCCCCGAAGCCTATGGAGAGGACCACACTGGAGCAGATGCCTATACTGCAGCCCATGGGGGACTCCACACCAGAGCAAGGTGGGTATTTCCTGAAGGAACTGCCACCTGTGGAGAGCCCACACTGGAGCAGATTCTCCTTAGAAGAACTAATGTCCATGGAGGTCCCACGCTGGAGCAGGTTTAGCTTGAAGGGCTGTGGCCATAGACAGGACCCACAATGGAGCAAGGGAAAAGCATGAGGATGAAGGAGTGGCTGTTGTGGACAGACTCCCATTTCCAATATCCCCTGTGCCACTCATGGGGAAGAAGATAGAGCAGTTGGAAATGAAGGAGAGATGTTGAGCCTGAGAAGAGGAGGCAAGGTGTTTTAGTTTTTGCCTTTGTTTCTCACCACCCTATTCTACTCTTAACTGGTAACAGATTAATTTTGCCCAAATTGAGCCTGCTTTGCCAATGCTGGTAATTGGTAAGGAATCTCTCCACCTTTACCTCAACTCACAAACTTTTTCAATTTAATTTCTCTCCTTGTTCTGTTGAGGAGGAGAGTGAGTGGCTGGATTGGGGTCTGGCAGCTGGCCAAGGTTGAGCCACCACACTTTTGTATAGTTCTTGCCTCCACTGCAATACCATTAAAGACAAAGAAACACAGTGCTGAATCAAGCTAAAGAAACAGTGAACTTGATGTATGCAACATGAGCACATACACCTTCTTTTACCTGTGGTCATTCTGCAAACTTCAACAGTAGATATGCAAATTAATACTGGAAGGCCAATGTATGTGTGTATGTATGCATTACCCAAAGAGTGCTGGTTGGCACTTAGGAAATGTACTATTTGGTATGAAGGGCCAAACTTTAAAAGCACAGGAAGGCTCGAGTGCATTTGATTCTTCTGATTAGCCTGTAAATGCTGTCAGTCAGATCACAGAAGTGCTACATCAGTTATGAAGAGGTCAAGGTATTCAGAACACCCAGAATACAGATGAATAGTAACCAGCTTGACTGAAAAAGAGATAAGTAATATCAACTCTCTTAAATGCTGTGTGGGTTTCTGAATAATAAATTAACAACAGAGATAAATATTTCAATTCTCAGATACATATCAAGTATATGTCAAACTGACAGTTTTTAAAAATTCTTCTAAAGTTTCAAAATCTGCTGAAAAAAGCAATGGTCTTTTGTCCTCCTTTTTTACCTATCATTTTCACAGATTTCAAAAAGAATTCTATATGCAGAAAGGCAATTAGAGAAAAATGATACCTTAAATACTGATACAATTTAAAAGATGAGAATAGAAGAACACTGAGTTAAATTTAGGCATTAGAATTTGATCTTACAATTTTCATATAAGAAAATATTATTTAATCACTGAGGTTTTTCAAATCTTTAAGATGTCATTAAGGAATACATGATAACATATTCACCTGCCAGCAGTAGAAATCCTAACATGTTACAAGGAAAGAAGTTTCTCAGTAGTGCTTAGTAGAACGGATTATGTTTGCAGACACAGAAGATCCCTATCAACTTCCCTTGACTTCAGCTGTGCCACTTTCTCCTAAGGAAAATAATATTTTAAAGTGATAGTATCTTCAGCTGTCACAGAATGAGATTTAAGAGGTGAAAACGTGGAAGGTAGAAACCACCAGAAGCCACAAAGGACCACAGATCCAGTACAAACATCTCTATTTCATAAAAATATTAACATTTCAAAATCATATTTATGAGGAAGATTTCCTTACACACTGTGTCTCTAAATTCAAACTATGATGGATATCAAATACTTTGGAACAAATATGGGCCTCTAAAACAGGCTGCGAATAACAACTAAATTGGGACATACTGAAATGACACAGAAATTAGTACAGGATTTTATATCCATTTTATATACTTGCAATTATGCAACCTACTAAATGTAACTTTGACTTTTAATTTGAAAGATATAGAGGTATTTGTGCATGTCTGCATGCTTGGCTAGGTACATTTCCTATTCAGAATGTGAGGAAGGTAAATGAATGAAGAGAGACAAAAACAGCTGAACAGCACAATTTAAAGGGTTCGTATACACTCTTTTAGCTGCTTTCAGTCAATCCTGTTATAATAACCATGCATTAATTTCAAGATACTATTCCCCATTTGAACAGAGAATGATGCTAGCAATAAAAAGAGAACATAATAAAAGTGAGCAAATTCTTCCGATAGAATTGAGTCCTGCACTCCACAGAGAAGGCCAAACTCCAGTCAAGGTCAAAGAAGTTATGCCTGTTCATAGCTTTCAAATTTCTTATAATTATTCAGTCTTAAAATCTACCACAAGTACTTCATCAGTGTTTTGTAAGGTTCTTCAAATGCAGAACTCTCATATACGTTTACTAAGTCTGCAGTCTATACAAAAAATTCTAAAGTTATTTTCACCTGAAATTATGTATTTCCAGCATGTTATATGTAAATGCTAAGACATAAATCAATCTTTAACTTCAAGTAATATTGTATTGCCACACAGTAAAAACATTAAAATAAATATAATATCATAGATATTTATATAGGTAGCTGTATATTTACAGAACACTTTATTAAAATCATGTAACACCAGATAAGGAAAAGAGAAACACATTCACAGTAGCCATTGCACATAATGACAAATCCCCAAAGTTACTTAAAACAAAAAGAGAGAAGTTAATTTTGTAAATCATTAGTATATTAGAACAGATTCATAGCAGGCTATCAGAGGATGTTGGTGAATGCAAAGAACAAGGAAACTAGACATCTTCTAAAAATGCCTTTACAATTCAGGTAGAAGAACAAATCTGAAAACTGTATCACTACTTTGCTGTAATGCTGTGTGGATACGTTAACACAGTAGCAAAAAGGAAGCAATAAACAGTGATAAAGTAGCATCAGCTGCACTCCTGGAAGCACTCCTGGCAGCAGGGGCCTCAGCTGTACTCACAACCCTATTACTGCAATTGTTTAATTTAAGAATCCAAATTTAATTTGGTTAAATACTGAAGTCACTTAAACCTTATAAAAGAACTGATGGGATTATGATTCAGAGTAGCAAAATACAGCCTCTGGGGCTGCTGATGTACCAAAATTTTTGACCAGACATTTTTCAATAGTTTCTAGTCCCCAAAATATCATTTATACAACCAAAAAGACCATTATGGTACTCAGAGAGGCTGAAGATACTGCTTTCGTTTTACTAATCCCAGCACCCAAGTAATTGTCCCACAGCACCCCATTAAGTACAAATGATT